GAAGAAGGAGGTATGCACCTTGTCCTAAAGGTGGGGTTACAACACGTCCTCCCAAGGAAAGAGTGGAGTCTGTGGACCAAGCACGCTGGATTTTACAGCATCACTGTGGCGGGGCTGCCTCCTGCACCCCGACTGCCTGCTCCCGACTGCTGCCTCTGCGCCTCAGCCAAGTCGTTCTCCACAGCTGCCAGAGCCACCTTCCCACAGAGTGCATCAGATCGCACCAGCTCCCAGGCCAGACACCTCCGACAGCTCACCATAAAACAGAAACTTCTCCTGTGACCTACAGAGCTGTGCGTGATGCAGCCCAGGGCTGCCCGGCATAACTTCGGTGAGGCCGGAATGTTCTGCATCTGTGCTGTCCACCGTGGGAACTCTAGCCACACTGAAATGTGGCTAACTAAGCACGACCAACCGGGGAGCTGAATGTGACTCTTTAAATTTAAAGAGTCACATGTGGCTGATGGCTGCCACATTGAGCAGCATAGGTTTAGCTTCTGCTGACCTCTGATCCCACTACCCTCAGCCCATCAGCCTGGCCACCTCCCTTCAGAGCCTCCAAGGCACCAGGTCCTGTCTGCCTCGGGGCCTTTGCACAGGCTCTCGACACCTGTCTCTCCCATCTTCACTTGGCCAGTGTCCACTCCTCAGATCTCACACAGTGGCGTGTCCCTACATCAGGACGCCTCTTCCTCTTCTAGCTCCCTGCAACCTGATCTCTTCCTTTGGGCTACTCGCCACCACTCGAAATCTGTCCATCGTTGACCATGATGTCGTTGCACGGAGCCTGAGTGCACACGGTGACAGTGCATGAATTAGAGAAGGCATCGCTTCCTCAAGTGACTGGCCTGCGTCTGAGGGAAACTTGTTCCATCAACTCTACCAATCCACGATGCCTGTGAAGTGTGCCCCGAGAGCCTGCTCTGCTGGCACGCCTCTGGGAACGGCTGTGGCAGCAAGGCAGAGAGGCCCATTCCCCAGCCGCCAGTGTGCAGAGGCTGCCCACCTGCCTGAGGTGCACACCCATCTCTGGGCTATTACACAAAGAAGAGTAAACCTACAGGACAGATGCCTGTCACCAGGCTGCTTGGTGGCCAAGACAGGAGTTTAGCTCCCAAGGCTCCGCCCAGGCCCACTGAGCACCCAAGGGCCCTTCCTCCCCTGCCAGGCACCTCTGCCCACCCATCCACTCTCTGCTCTATCACCTCCCACCTGCCAGTTTCAGATCAGCCCAAACCAGCCTTCAACTCCCTGGGAATTCAGGAGGGCATTCCACCATGCCCACCAACGGGGCAGCACTGGGCCACAAGNATGGCCTGTAGTGACAAAAAGAAGAGAGAAGGCTGGCGAGGAGCACGCTGCCCTGCGATCGGCAAGCGTGGACCTCACCTGGCTCAACCTGCACTAGCCAGACCACTGCCCAAACCGGGGGACGCGTATGGTTCCACGAGTCGAACAGGATGTGCAGAACATTTGCCAGAGTCCTGAGCTGCTAAAGGGTGGGGTGAAGACCCCTTGAGGGTGCCAGAGCAACCAGGACTGTTGGCCCAAAGACCGAACAACAGGAGGGGACGGGTGCTCACGGCGGAGAGACCCAGCAGGTCCACATGCCCACTGCAGAGGACCTGCCCACGACCCCATGGCCTGCCTTGTGATGCCTGCCAGCCCAGTTCAGGTGACTGGCCATGGTCCCAGTGCCTAGCAACATCTCCTACGTGCGCTCCTGAGCAGCCCTTGACATCAAAGCCCACCTGGTTTTCTGTAGGAGTGGCACCCTCTGCCCCACCAGCTGACAAGCTTACTGAGGCATGGCCCTGTCCTTGTCAGTGCTCTGGATATGGCTGCAAGAGTGACAGAAAGGCCACGTTGCCTCTTGAGTCCTGTGAGAGGAGAGATTCTGAGAGGAGACTCGTCTGTCCCAACACCTCAGGACTTAAGTATTTTTCTTCTGGAAATGAAAACATGACTCCAGGCAAATTGCACATCCTTCATTTTGGTAACATGCTAACAGGTATGCCACTTGTCAATCAAGAGCATCGCATGCACGACACGGCTGCCTGACTGTTCCCACTGGACACAGGTGATTTTCACTGTGAAAACACACCCATGTGACAAGGTGAAGCTACTGGGTCTTTGGTAGCATCAGAGGGTAGTGGTGATATATAAGCTCCTTATTAATTTTTTGATGTTTAAAAAGAGGAAAACATTTAATATAAAACAAGAATTTAAGTGTGGCTGATTTTAATGAAATGACACGTGAAACGTATAGTTTTATCTGTGTCAAAAATATACATTGCAGTCTACAAGCAAATGTAATGTGGTGTCCTGGAACAGAAAAAAGGTCGATCAGGAAAAACTATGGAAATATGAACAGTAGGGACTTAGGGAAGAATCCAGATGACAACTGAAGAGTGTGGGGGTTGGGGACACCGCCCTGCACACACTCAGAAATCCACATGTAGCTTTTCACTCCCCCAAAACTCAACTACTAATAGCCTACTGTTGATCGATAACATAAACAGTTGATTAACACGTTTTGTATGTTATATGTATTATATACTCTATTCTCACAATAAAGTAAGCTAGAGAAAAGAAAATGTTAAGAAAATCCTAAGGATGAGAAAACACATTAACAGTTTTTATTG